CAGGCTGCAGGGAAATCTACACCGCACTGTGCCTGTGAGTGCGAATCAGATATTTTATTCACGCTGGGTTACAGGTGCTCACAAATTTAAACTGCACTTGGAGTCCAACCAGGAAATGTAGCTGAGGTGACTAACATGGAGCTTTTGATGGAATTTATATTTTAGTACAGCAACTGCACATTTACAAGGGGAGATTTTTGGTATTAATTAATAATAATTAGACCCCAAAATGTCTTATATTTGATTTCATGCACGGTATTTGGGTCACATGTCCTGCTATAGGTGCAGCTATTCATGGGTTTCAGTTGCCTGTTATGTGAATATAATAATTTAAGGACTTTTTTACACATGATAAGTACTCCTCATTCTGAAACCCATGGATAGAATTTAGGTTGTAGGTACGTGATATTTCTTTTTTTTAACTGACTAACTTACACAACATCTTAAAAAAATAGATCTACTTCTATACAATATTTAATTTGGAGTCTGTGCCAGTTGAGGTTTCTAAAAATAATAAGGTAATCTAATCATCCACTTTATGAAACAAAGTGCTAAATTTGAGTAGAACATTTGAGCCCCAAACGAAAGAATTAAACAGCAAGTAAAATGAGCAAAAGCTACATCAGTTTTAATTATATTTTTCAAACAAACTGACCAAACAGAAATTCACATGGCAAAGATGAAGATGGGAACCAAGTGCAAACTAAATTAAAGGGTCTGAAAATGTATTTTTAGAGGTGTCCTGGTAAGTAATGGTTTGCACACATTTAAGGCTTAGTTAAACCTATACTACATATGTTGCAATGCCAATTCATGTTTCAAATATTGAGAAAAGATTTGACGAATGCTCACAAATTTTTAATTGACTTTCGTTCAAATACCAAAATAAAAATAATTGCTATATCTTTGTAGGATGAGACTAAAGATATACACTTGCCTCTAGGCTGAAGGTGAGTGCTTTGTAGTGTTTTTTTGTTTTCAACTGACTGAGTGTAAGTTACACCTGAACTGTCTTGCGATTACTCACTGCATACTGTATTACTACTGTAGTTGCAGGTCTGTGCTCGGTTAGTGCTTTCAGGTAGATTTAAGGCTAAACAAAGCAGTATAGTCATCTTCATAATTTTGTTGCAAGAGTCAAATTGTTCCTGTTTTAGCCTTGGCCCATTAAAGACTAATGTTATGTAAAACCAAAAATCGTTGCAACATTTTCTGCTCACAGTGATTTGGGATTAGAAGCACCAGCGGCACCAGTTTGTTGTAAACACATTAATGACTTTCACTGCCTAAATAGACGAGATAGCGAGATGTGCGAAGCTATCTACAGGAGGCTAATCCAAAGAAATAGAGAAAACTGGCAGACAGGAAAGGCTACTGTGGCTATATTGACAGGGCCTGCCGAAAGCATGGCAGGTAAAACCCTCCAGCTTCCAGTAAAACCGCAGATGTTGAGTGGGGAAATTGCTTGAGAAAAGTTGGAGACAGACTCGACTAACAACAGAGCCACTTCGTCTCTTGAGTTTGGTTCAATCTCGATAAAGTCATTGTGTGCTCGCGGAGAGGAGAGCCAGGAGAAAGTGACAGCGAAAGTAAGTCAGGCAAGTCATATATTGCACTTGAGTCAGAAAAATGTCTGGACGTCCCTGTAAATAAGCTTCACGCCACATTTCCAATGCTATTCGCAATGATGCATCCCAATTATGTACGTATAAACAGACAGTTAAATCTCTCAGTGTCAACATTTGAGCGAAGGGTTTGGTTGCTTTTCCATTACAAACCTCCATAATAGAGAAGTCTTAGCTGTCGTCTTTAAAATTCAGAGAGTGAAGCCTTGAGTATATCTTGTTTTGCATGAATAGTCAAAGTTATTTAGTGTCTCTGGCTTGTAGCATATTTTGAATCAATAACTAAGTGCATTGTATTGAGCCTAAAGAAACCATCATAATACACTTCATTCTTGCTGCTACTCCCACAAGATTAATTTGCAAGTAATTGGATATTTAAAATATATGCACACATTACCTTCTGTTCACAAGAACTGGCCGTCTATCAAATGGGAAACCACTAGCTTCCTCCTGAAGCAGAAGGTTAAAACCTGTCATAGTTTCTGCCAAGCCAACTGTCCCCCTTCTGTATTATCTGGCAGTGATCTGTCCTTGTTTGACCTGTTTACGTGGACTTTTATGAGAACTATCTCGTCAGAAATCTCCAGTAAGATTTTACAACTCTACCAAAACAGGCATAAATCAGATCGCAAAAGCAAGTTCTATTTTGATCATATGTTAATCAAAGAAACACATTACTTTTTCTTTTGTGTGAATCAGGAATGCTTAATAGGATATAAATGATGATATATGTGCATCTCAATAATAATCATAATGATCTGCAATTGGTGGTTTTCAGATTCTATAAAATAATGATGTCATACTGCCAGATGGGGGGCAAGAGCCAGGTGTCCCTGTTAACATGATAACATTGTTCTTTATCATGACATATCCAAAAGGAAAGTGTGTTACAAGTGTTACAATACAAATAATAATTAACCGGCTAACATTATTTTTAGTTATATCTTTGACCAGCTCAATTTTATACATAGAGGCTAAACTAGACAACTTGAAATTTTGTTTTCTGCATAGAGCATTAAACAGTCTTTGTGATTTGCTAACTGTGACCAAAATGCAATTCTGATTTGATAGCAATATATAGTTGAAGATTAATTAAATGCTGTGGATTCCACAGAAAAAAAAACTGTGATCTTTAAACAGATCCCTCCACATCCCCAGTTTTCTTAGAAACCACTCCTCAAACATTCAGCATATTCAACTAAAATATTCCATCCTTAGCATGATTTGCCCCAAACAAAAAATAATAGACATGTTAATTAGTTTTCACCTCCAGCTGAACAAATTCAAATATAGATACAGTGCTGACAGTTGCAGCCTGGAGCTCTTGAGCCGTTTAAGAAGATGTGCCACTGGTTTGGCGCGAGTGTGAATGACAGATTGGTGTAGTGGTGTTAATGGAGCCCCTCTGTGCTGACCTTGGTCTTATCTCAGCGACCTCATGCATGATTGATAAATAAAAATGAAACTCAAGATGTCTTCCAAAGCTGGGGTATCTGATCTCATTATGAGTTAGTTTCTTAGCGGAAAAACGGTAATTGAGCTGGTTGGTTGAATGGGTGTTTAATTTTGCAGCACCTCTGTTGTTTACCTATTATAATAGAAGATGAAAATTTAACACATTTAAATGTGCAATATGTAACTTTTTTGATGGAATGTCTGTCACCTGCTTGTCTCCATGAAGATGTTACTGCAGTGTTTTGAAATTGAATCGAAATGTATTATATTTATTATATGCTATGATGACTATGCCTACTTTGTGGATGGACATGCTGTGTTTTATCTATATTTGTGGTAATGTCTGCAAATAAAGTTGCTAATGGTTACATAAAGTGATTTTGATTTGTATGGCATTAACTGCATCCGTCTCCATAGAGACAAACAGTTGATGCCAATAGGCCAATTTACAGGTC